AAACTACCTTGTTATTACTTTTTGTTAACATCTCAAATTCACGACACGATTGTTCAGGAAAATGTGTGCTTGGCTACACGGCTCCCATCACAATATAGTCATATTTTATTTGTCGCGGAGAACCTAACGGGTAACCGGGGCTCCGGCTCGACGTGCAGGAGAAGGAACGGGGTGGTTTTTAGTCAGTAAGAGTCTGGCACTCCCTTCCGCCTCACCCAGGCGGGAGCAGTCATTCGATGATTTCCCCCCCTTAAAAAAAAGTCATATTTTATTTACGGTTGATTTGCCATTATCTGTTATGAAATTGACATGGCCGTCGCCATTACATCGTTCAATGTCCAATGGCCATATTGTTAACACATAATTGATTGGCTACTATTGTTCATTTGATGCAAAAAGATTGCAGTTTCTTTACAAAGTGTCTATAATGTGTATGCAAGTACATATGCACTTATGTATATATATGAGGAGCTAAATATAACTGAATAATTTTTGTTAACCACAGCAAGTTGTAATTCTACTAATTTTCGCAAGGTTAAAGTGTATGTATTGAAAATAAAGTACCAGATAATACTGTTCCTTAATGAAAAGACTGTGAACTTTAGTTGAATAAAATAATGTACATAGTTAGTTTGGTGCAACATGAACCAGTATTTTAAACATTTTGTGATACACAAGTAAAGTGAGTAATGCCAACATTCCCTTTTCACGATCGATTTTTGTTATTACACAACTTTTATATATTTTGCAGGTTCCATAATCAGATGTATGCGTCGTCTAGAGGAAGTGCTTAGACAACTGTGCCAGGCGGCCAAGAACATCGGCAACACAGATCTGGAGAACAAGTTCAGCGAAGCCATCAAACTGCTCAAGAGAGACATCGTCTTTGCAGCCAGTTTGTACATGTAACTCTGTATGTACCACTGTTATTATTGTCTAATATAAGCGTATCATATATTATAATATCGTATTTTATTTAACACAGTCTTTTTTTATGTTGTTTTTTTTTTGTTAAGATGCAAGACCTATTCAGCCCATTGTTTATTGGATTCTATCACTGTTATGTGGAAAAAGGTGGTTGCCTGGGCTTACTAACTACACAACAAAAAAGTTTCAATCAAATCCATCCATTAGTTCTGCAGATTACCCTGTGCAAATAGATAAACAAACACACGTCTTTTACAAATTATTTCCTTACCTTTTCCTGTTTCCTTATTACCCTATTTATTTCTAACATTTGATGATGTACCTGGGTGATAATTCAAAAAAAAACGGCGTCATTATCCTCAACCCAAAGTTAAACTGCTGCTGAATAAAACACAAAATTTGGTTTCAAGTAATTGAGCCGTGTCACTGCTTCCAATGAAAATACGGACGATAATAAATTACCATGGTGATTATCAACGCGGGAGAATAATGATTTGTTGAATAAAAATTAAGAAACGCCCACTAAGTAACATTTACAATTCAATGGTTGGACGGGTCGTGCCCCTTGAATTGTTTAATAAATCACTCACTAAAGATTTCTAAGAAGAACGGAAGACATAATCCACACAATGCTATCTATACAAACCGGACACACATAGGCTGCTGTAGAATTATTGTTATACATAACATCACATCTTTTATCCCAGAAGGAGTAGGCAGAGGTGCACATTACGGCGCCTAATACTGCACAATGTAACACCCACTTTTCACTATTTATGTTATGAATCCCATGTAATAGGGGCGAGGCTGTTGCCATATACCGGGCATATTTCCAGACTCTGTGCTACTACTGAGATTTTTTTAAACCCAGTAATACTTTGCCCGATCCAGGAATTGAACCCGAGACCCCTTGCCCGGCAGTCGTACTTACGACCACTCGGCCAACGAGGCAGTCCTTTGTTTATTGTTTTCCAGTTGTTGTTAGTTATAGATTCTAAATATTAACTTATCAATATTGGTTGGGGATATAGATAGAAAGGCGACACATTCACAATGTTATAAGAGAACTTTATTGTTGTAATTACTGTATATCTATAGCAATGAACTGGCAAGTAACAAAAAGAACAGTATTTTACTAGAATTACGCTAGAGAACCATTTTCACACAGATTGCCGTGAAGAATGATACAACTTTTAACTAATCCAAAGAAAATTTAGTAAACAGTGACGTCAACATTTGCTTTCCAATCAAATAGTTATATAATTTTATCCAGAATTTATCGAACTTTGACAATAGTTCTAAAAAGCATTAGAACGAAATTGACAGGTCTATCAGATAAAACGAGTAATTTAGGATTTATATAAAAATGTAAGATACAGGGTTAGTGAAGGTGGCAAAGTTAGATATCACTGTTCGCTGTGACAAGTTCCACTCGCACGTAATGGCGCCACCGCACAACTATTTTAACGAGGACCCTGTCAATGTGGGATCAATACGTTGCGCGCCAGTCCCGCGACTCTACAAAACATTGATAAAGACCTTATTAAAATAATCGATATCAATACTGTAATACAAGAAAACATTTAAAAATTGCTTACTCTATAGTCTCATTTGGTGCCTGAATTGATATGTCCAAGAACTAAACGCGAAATAAATGCTAACTCTGTCTAACTATTACATTCTGAGTAACTAAACGAGGTATTTGTTTTGTGTCTATAGTTACATAGAACTAAATCCCGCGAAGTGCAAGTAAAAATATCTGCACGTGGTACAAGACGCGAGCTCCGCCTATGCTATGATAAGTATACGCTATTATTATCGTTTAATACTTAGACGTAACAATAAACACTCGCCCCCGCGTTCGACTGCTATGGAAGACTCGACGCTTACTAGAAGCACTTTCAATACATTACCAGTCGTTCGCCACTCACCAGCTTAAACAATCTCTACGCCATTAAATCGACTCCTTACTGTATTATTTATACAAAATGTACAATTTCTCAAAAGCGCCTTCAATCAACGATAATTATTATCTGTAGTATATTAGTGAGTATGCTGTGTACGATATGACTATGTTAGCTTGTATGGTACGAGCGCACTCACTGCAGTAATCTCTTCGGCACCCTTCTGGGAATATACACCGAGTTAACTTTATTATTGCTTCAAATCTAACATTTCTCTAATGTACGGAAGATATATGTAATTGTATTATCTATGTATCTTGTGTAACTAACTACTGCACCATATAAATGTCGGTAACACTGCTTATACAAGGCCCACAAAAGGCTATTCTACTACTAAACCCGCTCAGTTCTCTTTCCACTTAACATTACAATACGCGAAGTACGCACCGAGAGCTTGCTGCAATGAATGCACGTCGTATAGAATGTGTAGCTTGCTATTGTCCTCCACACTCACAGCTACGCGGGCAGACAGTGACGGCTTGTGTCACATATTGTATAATAGTGGTTTGGCACTCAATCTCTAACTCTGGCTATCTTCATTAGGAATAACTGTACGGGGTTTTACACTGTTTCAAAAATTGAAATACTTATACGGACAATAGCAAGCCGTATACTCGTGTACATTAATGACTATTCAATAAATAGGTATGATATATAAAACTATTTAATGTTAAATGTAAGTATGTGGATTTGATCATTACTCCTATGTAACATTCACATTTAGGTTAGGTACAAACAAGTTAATAGGTAAATACGCTTATTCTCTTATACTCCGAAATTTGAAATTTACGTATGAAAGTAGAGTGTCAGTACTTATCCGATGTTCAGAGGCCTTATATTTCAACTTGAAACAATCGAAGGAGAACATTATGATATGCAAACAATTATTGTTACAGATCGATATGACGATGTTAATATTTACGACAGCAGAAGTCGAATTTGAACGACCTATATTATAGCAACACACTTTCTTAAAATTGTAATAGGCCATTTAAGTTAGTAAAATATTTACAATAAAAATACGAAACTGTTTACAGTTTCTTTACGACATTACTCGAAGATTAGGCGAGAAAATCACTAACGACTAAAATGGAAAGTCGTCAGAGAGACAGGCGTCGCGGCGCCCGGGGACACGCGTCGACTGCGCGCTGCGCGCGTCGGCCGCGAGCGACAACGAGCTAGTACTTTATCGTTAGGTTTGTTCCCCTGTGTGGCAGTGCGTGTTGGCGCTGCGACGCCTGCTCGACGACACAACGACTGTTACATTACACAGGCACACATAAATTCAGCAAAGAAATTTCTCTACAAACAAATAATTTCTTATTTACATCAACCCCTATGCAACTATTCAATAAGTTTGCGATAAAATTGAATGACAGATATCAAGAAATAAAATCGAATTAGGTCTCAACATAGGTAAATTTTTCTAAAACTGTTAAACGATATCAATATTTTACATTAATTATCTTTCAATACCTATTAACATTAGCTATAATTTATAAGATCTCCAAGTTTGTGATAATCTTCAATTTAAATTTAACAAGATATTCGTTACCTACCTATTACCGTAAGCGTCCGCATCAGTTACAATATGAAAGTGACAACTTAACAGAGAGGAGAAAATATTTCAATAATCGTACCCTAACTCGACTATAATCCTGTCTCAAAACAAGATCAAAAGTTCACTTGGTCGGACCAAAACTTCAGTCGGTAAAATTGATCAAAACTGTAAGCCCCTCGTTAAACGCTCCGGCTGCTGAGTGCGGGGACCGGGTACCGGGTACCCGGCGGTGAGTGGCGCGGTGGCACAATTACATCGGCCCCACGTTACCGCCGGCCACTCGGCGGCTGGAGCGGCTGAGGAGAGACAGACATACACCGCATACATACAGACCGCACTCCACTCCACTTCACTCATATCACTCGCAAGAATACTTGAACGCCATTTTCAGATGAAGCTTCCCTGGAGATGTCGTGAAACTAAGAGATAACATTGAAACAATCGACCGGTTTACTGAAACTGAGTGGGGTACAGAAAGTTTCACGACTCGCCGGCGTTCCGAGCGCTGGGCGCCGCGCGTTGGTAGAACATTACGTGCGCACGCGCAGTCACGTGCTCAGCACCTGTCGCAGCAGGAGCGGGGACAGCACCGCCCACACCGCAGGGATCAATCGACCGCCGCGACCACACGATTGTATCTCGATTTCCTGGAGATTTAGATGTTACATTATGTAAATTGTAATATTATGTGGATTCCTAGTAACAAGTGTAGAGCTGGAGTCAATGAGATTACCTCGGGATGGTAGGAGCCGCAGTGCGCGGGCCGGCGGCGGTGGTGGCCGGCGAGGCGGCGGCAGGGCGCGCGGCCGGCCGCCTCGCGCGCGCGCACGTCCAGCCGCTTGGCGCCGCACGGACACAGCGTGTCCACCACCAGCAGGATCAGGTTGCTGTGCGGGATCTTCTGCACGCTGAACGGCCTGGAAACGAATTTTATTTCGAGGTAGCAATATTATCCATGTGTTTGGTCTCACGGTTAGTCACACAACCGTGGTGTAGTTTCTACACGCTAGAACAGGATTGATTTCACCACCAACAAGTACTACTAGTTAGTTGCGTAATGAAGTTGACACCATAACATCTAGTTAATATCGTACAACCATGCCCTTTGAACAAAAAAGGACTAGTGTACGGAACTGAATTATCCATTGTTTGATTATTTCTTACCTCTCGCAGCCAGAGTTATGGCAATTAGTGAGCTTGCCCTTGAGTGGTTGTGCGGTGTTGAGTCGTGAGGACTGCAGTGTGAACAGTTCCGCGCTGGTGTCGCAGGGGCGCACGGCGGCCGAGCGAGCTGCCTCGCGGGGCGGCGGGGGAGGGGGGACTCCACTCGACGGAGGAGGGGGGCCCGGGTGCGACCGGCCACTGTCGCGGGAACTCTCACCCAACCCGTCGATTATGATCTCATAGGTACCACGGTCCCTGTCCAAGTCATCATCGTTTTCCATATCTTCACTCTCGTAGTCCTCGTAATCTGAAAATAACCAATTAATTTTTAATATCTTTTCTCCCATGGAGTTGTTATAATTATGTTATGATAATGTTCTACTTACCAACTTCTTCCTCAGCGTATGGTCTGGCTCGTGCGCGCACTGGCTCCCATAGTGGGAACCACACGGCAAGTAGACTAGTGAGGTATCCACCGAGCCAGGATAGTGGTTTCAGAGGCTGAGATGTAAATAATAATAGGTGTTATATTACAAAAAAATTTGATGGATAATAAATATTCTTCGTAGGATGTATTTTCTAATTTTCGTACATACATACATTTACTTAACTAGATACTCACCGAAACTTTGTGACCGTCACCACTAAATGAGTTTCTGGAGTCCGGACATCGGCCTTGATGATCGTGTACAACGACCTTTTTGTATATTCGATCCTGTACTAGTGAATCCATAATAGTCCCATCGACTTGTCCAAAGAACCGACCAGTTTGTGAGACGTCCTCTGATAAAATGATGAAGCCGTTGTCGTCCAAAATGTAACAGTCTAACTCGTCGCCTGCGCAAGTCTTCTTACAAGAAGTGCCAGCTGTGCACTGTAGAGTAAAGAAGTAAGAGTTTAGTAGATTGTATAAATGGCGAGTAGTCCTTTTGTATATGACTTACTGCTGAAGTGACGTTCAAGAAGTGTTTTGCTAGGGAGTCTAGCTGGAAGTGGAGGCCCACGACGGCGGCGGGTGCACGATGTCCGCGGGACTCCACGAACACAGCGTGCGTGGCCAGCACTAGAGGAGGGCGACCACTCAGCTCCTCAGCCTCCGAGCCATCACGGAAGGGCACCGAGAATACGAAGCTCTCGGGTTCGATGGCGTGGTGCTCTACCGCGCGACGATACCATTCCGAGTCGTATGCGCGAGAGTATCTTTCACTGAAATGCCTGTAAATAAACACTCGTGAGCTTTAATTCCAAATAAATAACATCAAATACTTGGTAAGTTCAGTGATCTACATTCTTATGCAGTTAATATTAATCTTATTTTTTTACTCACGGTTCTGACGAGTCAGTGCTCCTGGAGGTGTTGACGTTCTCAGTCCAGCGAAGCAGACCGCTGCGTGTTGCGATGAACGACAGCGTCACCACGAACTTGTGGAACCGTCCTTGCCTGTAAAGACGTACAGAGGTGAGCATTTTATATTGATTGGATTTTTTTTTGTTTAGGGACGATGTATAATTTCCATTTGTTTTCAAAAGTAATGCGGGAAAAGAAGATTCGATATTTTTGGTAATTAGCTTTCATCGAGTTTCCTGATTCTCGGCTTAAAATCTCCAAATATTTTTTTACTGACAGGAACTGTAATATATATAATATGATGATCCTAAAAATGTGTCTCTAATAATATCAATACTGACTAAATATACACACAAAACACCTGTGTACTGTACCTGATCCTCGAAAGCTAGATTATAAATAGAAAGACGAGCGAAAATTATACAACCTAAGCTAAGAAATAAAATAAGAAAGGACTTGCACCAATATAGGTGTATGGAAAGTCGCTCTCCGGAAACATAAAACGTTTAGTAGAAGATGCCCATGGAGTATTATTATGCTTAAACCGATTATAATAATCTTAACATGTTGTTAGGTGAAGTGCGAAACAAAATTCAAAATAAGTGTGTCTGTGAGTTGTCTTATTTGCACAAATAAAAGTCTTCCAGTGTTCTTTATACCCAATCCACTCCAATAGCCAATACGTGTCCTTAGCAGTTAGTTATGACTATACATAGTTCTACTGGTAGTTGAACCAATCTCAAGAGTTACGTTACCTTGTAAGGAGTGCCATTAAAGTCGCTATCGGGCTATTTGTGTGACAAACACAAACAAATTAGTCATCCACATAAAATAACATAAAAGTGCTGAAATTATATTGTTCGTCAGGGTGCTAAACTGATAAATATCCATGCATATTGCCTTATATTTTATTGGTCTTTTTCAAGGTGAGCTAATGGCGGTACGAGGATCCGACGTAGATATGATTGGTAGATACGGTTACATGATTAATGTACATAATTATGTTTTGTTTTTCCATAAACGTTTAGATCTAAAGTTTTCTTTATTGTTATTCTGTACAGTTAGCACGAAATCTGGATTTTTCGGTTCCGTATTATGCCATATACCTAAATGGATGGAAGGTCATAAGTGGCCAACAATTGGTGTACCAATTTATAGTTACATATTGCTTATTTTTTACAAAATAATTTTAATCTAAGCACTCGTACCGCCTTCTATTGTTTGCTTTTAAATGCAAAAACAAAAGGTGTTTGCAATATATTGAGAAAATGCCATAGATTTGTATTGCATTAAAACATGCTTCAATATGAAATGTACTTACTGTGAGTGATGGCTGGCATGTCCAGTGTGAGCGTCCAATTCTTTGATTACCATTGCATCCCTAATTAATGATTGCACTAAAGTTTTGTCACCTGAAAGAAAGATACGATATTATTTTCTTTTACAGCACTTTTCATAGTAATTTTTTATTGAGATTTATGACCATTTAGGTCATACATTTTAAGAATATTACTTTTTAGCTTTGGGCAAAAATAATGGTGCAGATTTTTCGGGATTTATAAGCACTGTGAGAACTAAGAAGAAATGGGGGTTTTCTTAAAATATCTTAGTGAACGTGAGATAATTTAACCAAATTATACTATACCATATTAATTTTAATACGAGTTAAGTACATAATACATACAATAATAAGAGTCCCTATCCTGCTTCTTGTGCGCGTTGTGTAGTGTGAGCGCGCGCGGTCGTAGTGACATCCACTTCCACCCAGGCCGACCCGCGCGGGACAAGAAGTGCATTAGTTGCTCCTCCGCAGAATTAAACGTCTGGTCGGATGTCGAAGCGTATTCACAATACACCCTATGTACGAAGAAATAAAGGTTAATTTGCTATGTCTAACGTTAGAAGTTGGTCCATTGAAGTTTATAAAGTTGTGGTAATCTTACCAGTCCGGATGAACTTTCCAGTTTTCACCTTTGAAGTATTCTGTGACTGGAAAAAGTATGGGACATAAATATTAGATAGTTTATTTTGAGTGGAAAAGCAGTTTAACGTTTTACTATAAGCATTGTCTGCATCAGCAGAAGTCTACTATAAACACGTAACGAGTGCTACTCACCATTAACAGGACTATGCTTGACCTCCTGCTCCGCCTGCAGTTCGTACATGCCGTATCCGTCTGGCAACACTGCGGCCAGCGAGAATGGAGTGCCATCTACCGGACTGTAGAAGTACCTCTGTCGCCTGGTAGCGACGCGTCTCATGTTGTCGTATTGCACCTTCACTGCGATCTCAGTCTCACCTTCCCGCTGTTCTATCATGTCGTGACGGAGCTAAAAAAGTAAATGGTGCTTCGTTTTATTTAAATATTGCAATGGTTATATCTTTTGATTCCTATCGTTTATTGGGAATATCACACCCAAACAGGGAACAACTTTTTGTTCATAGCGTGTAGCAACTGCTATGCCACGCGTATCTAGAATCTAAAATGCGTTAATCTTGCAGTCATAGTTATGAGTAGCTCATGTTGAATTTGATATTACGATAAATTAGTACTGTTTAGATAAAGAGTAAGTTTTAAGTAGACGTAGGGCATTGTTACTGAGTCTTAAATTAATAACATCTAAATAATAACGGTAACATCCTTACATCGAGTAGCAGCGAGGTGAGGTTGACCCTAGAGTTCTCATCGGAGTCGACGAGCAGTTCCACGTCGGTGAGGTCCACACTCGAGTACAGAGGACGCAGCGTCTCAGTGTACTGTGGAGTATAGTAGCCATGTTTAGTACTGTACCAGCCTGCCCCTTAATTACTTAAATACATAACACCTTAACCTATTCCGTTTGTCGTATCGTTTTCTGTACTTACTTCCTCGTTCGTATGCTGTAACAAAATATTCGGTAATTAGTTGTGCTTTAATGGTCTCTATCATATTTAAGGTATTTAATTTGCGCCATAAAGGCTAAGTTTACACAAAAATGGTTTACATACCAATGGTCTCAAATCAGGATGATACAATACATGCCCGTTGTTATCCACCATGAACGAATAACCGTTCACACCCAACTGTATAAAGAAACATAATATATAATAAGAAATTGAAAATATAGATACATAGAAATGTATACCTATTTAGGATGAGTTAAAAGTTATTTTACCTTGTATGGTGGCACGAGCTTCTTTATTTGATCGATAGGGACATCAGTTCCAACCACGCCGAGTAAATTAGCTTCTCTTTGCTATAAAGAAAATAAATTCTCAATAAATATATTGTTCATAGTTCATTAATTGAATATAATATATAAAGAAATGAGATTAAAAAGTCATACCGTGTGGTTTCTCCTATCGAAGATTGGTACGGTGACAGAAGACATCAGCTGACCCATGCCATCATCAGCTAAGCTACTGCTCTGTAACCATAAACGATACAAATCATAAGTCGATACGCAAAAAGTTTCCAAAATCTGAGTTAATAGGCAGTTTTAGAAAAACGGGACCGTGACGTAATAGATATAAAGACCCAATTGCCTAAAATATGTTTCAATAGATTCTTTTTAAGTTTGTTGGTGGAGCATAAACCAGTGACTATACACAGATTTTACTTAAAAATATGGATCTGCTTACCCTTCCGCCAACGTACGCGGGGCTCCAGTGCACAGGATGCATGGTCTGGTACATGACAAGCGGCCGAGCCAACACCTCCACGAAGTGTAACACCTTCGATTTAATCTCAGAGTGCTCGTTTATCGTCACGTAGAAACCTGACAAAATGATAACAAAGTATTAGAACAGTAATTAACCTTTTGAGCAGGGTCACAAATACGTGACAAGCGAAAACTGTCCCTGAGCGCCAACGACACAAATATGTGACAAAAACAGCGGTACATTAAAACACGAAATAAACTATTTAAACATTACTTTAATTTTTATTTATATACCTGTAAAATAGAAGGTCCAAAATTTATTTATTTCCATAAAACTAATTAAATTGCATTATAAATATTGAGAAATTTTACGTTAAAAAGAAAGAAATCTGAAAAAGAATGTCCTCACACGCCAGAGTCATAACTGCGTGACCGCTAGTGATGTAGCGCATGTTGGATAATATCATTATTTCAAATCAAAGATCGATTCGAAACTTTCCTCTGGGATATATTATTTTAGGTATAATTTGGTACTAGGATAAAGCAGCATTAATTTTATAAAACCAGTCTTAAAAATCATTCAATAAGCTACATAGTCAAAAATAAAATATGGTTGGGTCGAATTTCGATATTCACTAATCCCAACTCAAGCGCATCCCTAACGCAACCCGAATTATCAGTACCCTGTACGCCATGGTCACGACTAGACGACAATATCGTGACGTCACAAGCGCGGCGACCAGAAATTAGTGAAGTGAATGAATAATATTTATGATTAATTTACTTGTGATATCGAGTTCAAGATTTATATTAAGTGACTATTATAATGAGTGGGAATTTAATGACTACGGAAGAACTTCTTCGCATATTAGAAGGACCTACTTGAATTTTTATTTCTCTTCTACTGTCTGAGGTCAGTTTGTTTCAATTTCTGTAGTACACTAGAAAAAGAGATCAGACCTCAGTTTGCCTCAGAGAATAGGAGCGAGAGTATTTGACTCGAAACTTTTATTCTAAGTGTGGGCTCCATATTTACCTATAACTTCGTGGAATAAAGTCTGCCAAAAGTTCCTTTTTTAGCCACGGTGCGCGCTGAGATCGATTTCACTGTCCCCACCACCCACTTTGCACCCAGCGAATTAGATGATCAGAATGCAGGTTGCATTGTAGATTTTGTATAATTTTGTTCTATTATTCAAAAGATTTATTAGTATAAGACTGATTGGTAATTGTGATAATTATATATAATCGTTAATTGTTTTAATTTGTTACTTTTATGCCAGGTTTATAGAACTTAATATTTAAAAACATGTATACATAGTACATACTGTATAACATTTTATTAAAATTTTCTATTTTTTCATAGTTTTTATTTACCTTCTTAACCTATTTCAATCATATATTTTTAAGTACCTGTTACATTCGGAATTATAAATCTGATTTAAAAAACGTGTTTCATTTATTATAAAATAATATTGTACTAGAACATCGATAAACGAGATATTACGTTGCCACATCCTTATTTCGGAAGCGAAGTAGTTATTAAAATGGCGGGCCGTCCACGCCATGGTCACAATATGAAGACAGCAGATCAAGAATAGTGTTGTACCTACAGTTATTATATTTAAATATATTGTAGTCTCATATCTGTTATTACGGTATTATACAAGTCTGTAAATAGTGTATAACTATTACTTTAATAGGAAGAAATGTAATGTTGAATTAAATTTCAATGTTATAAGGACATTATATTTCGAAATTAAAGACGAAAATGAAAATAAAATTGATTATCGATGAAGTTTTGGAATCCCTATTTTTTTCGTAGGTATTTGCGGTGAATTTGTGGTCTGGCGTTGAGGGCAAGTTCATGCGTTTTTGCTCTGGCGTTCAAAAGGTTAAGGTTTTGTTTTACTTTTCATATACATTCTGTTTAAATTAGTTAAAAATACGAGAAAAGCTTTACTAGTTTCAAGTTACGCCGGGACTCTTATTCAAGACCACCATTATCTCGTGACAAAATTTGCCTTACGATAGTTATCGATGATATCCATTTATTCAAGTATGTGAAAATTATGCATTTCTTTTTTGCGTTTTCAAGTTCATGTACATTACTTTGTATTCTAGTAAATTGAACTGTACCTTTATTAGTGCAAGCCATGTCCTTCATAGTATGTCCAGCGGCAGCGTCTCCACCGACGCGGTATGTAAAGATGCGGACAGGCATGTGTGGCCAGTTCCACGTGCGGAATACTCCTTTTACGCCGGCAGCGCCACCTCCCGCGCCGATCACGGCTATTGCTTGGTTGCATTGACACCCAAGACCAGTTCGATTATACTGAAAAATACGTACATATTTACAGTAAGATGCAGTACGGGAAGAAACTTCGTATCAGTCTGCTTTATAATAGTTATATTAGTGTGTATCTTACCCGATGTAAAATCTCGAAGCCCGTTGTAAGGGCGCCTGTCAGATTGGCCACACCCCCCGAAAGCTCAGCGTTCCATAATGCAGTTTTTAACTCTCTTATTGTCTCTGGAAGAGCCTAAAACAATTAGATAGCTATTAAATATCATATTACAAAGTATCAAACTTGCAAAGGTGACATCTCATGTAGAAATCCAACCTTTTCAAAAATATTTTGATTACCGAGTTGGTTTCAACTTATGAAAGGAAATCAATGAGACTAATTCTGAGGTACTTATTCTGATGTAACTCAATAAGTTCACTTTACTACATTGCTTCATCCATAAACTCATAAAGCGTCTTGAAGACGTAGGGAGAAATATCCTGCAATTTTATTGGTTGATATTCAGCTCGCATCAAAAGGAAGTAAAACGTACATGTTTGAAATATGAATATTCATTACATTGGCATTGTGTTCATTCGGTGATCCTATTGAGATTAGGAATCTGACTAAATAAATTATTAGTCCGCAATAGAAGTATTTAATGATGTACCTATGTAGAAGTAAGGACCGTGTTTGGTAGTTAAAGCAAAGATAATGTTTTAATTTATATCAAAAAGTTTGAAGGCATTGTGGTAGAAAATCAAAGCAGGTAGATGATGCAACTTTGTTACTATCTTCAAAAGAATCTACAAGGTCTCACCTTGGCTGGTATTGTTTAATAAAACTAGCCAAGTTATGTGTTCAACTAGCAACGAGTTAAAGTTGTGTCTAACCGCGCACGAAGGCTGCAACTGCTTGCAGGCGAACAACCTTGAAAGTTGCTGCGAAGGCCCATTGTTATGAGTTCCAACTACAAGCACCATGTTTAGCGTTTATTGCTTAGTTATCTTCAAGTATAATGCAGAACAAGGAAGTTGCTAGGACCAACTGTGCCTACACAAGTCGCACGTAATTACTCATGCAACTTGTAACTTAATTACTAAGGAAATGTAACAATTAGCTATGTACAAACAAAATAACACGCACGCACTTTTATATTTTTCAAATGAAACCGTTTTATATAGGTATAACCGTGTAATCCCATGTGAAAACAGATCTGAAATCCGTATTTAATGTCTCAAATAACTTAACCAATATTGCTTACAAACAGCAAATAAGTCATAAGATAACAAATACAGCGTTTGCAGAGTCGTTAATGTGAACAAACATACGAATATACTAATGAAACATGGCGCGTGTTACTCTTAAATATACAAAGTTTCATTTCGCCCGGGACGACATAAAGTGGAGAACGTTTGCCATGAAGGTAATTGTTGGATCGTATATTAGCGAAGTTGCCGGCTCAAGAGTGAAGCAGCCCTTTGGACGATTTCAAGTAGGTACAATCTACATCTTGAAGTATTGACTCGTGTCTAAGTATTTGATTTGTCGTTATGATGATGATGGCTTCATTTTATGGTCGGTTTTCTTGTTTAATGAAATATATACTTTAAAGTACTTTTATCACTCTTGTTCGGAATAAATATAACATGTAGTTGGAATGAAGCTGAAGTATTATCTAGTGATCGATCGATCTTGTGACTTGGCTCGACCCGATGTTGAAGAAAGTGTGCAAGTATAGCAGCAAAGTTGCAAGCTCGCGCGATAAGGGCGCGGCCGCACCCTCCACCTGTCACAAGCTACGCGCCACTCTGCTCTTTGTATCGTCGATTTTATCACTAAACTTCACCGAGACTTATGAACTGAATAAAGTGAGCAGCTAAGATGATATACTTGTTGTAATATACACAGTTCTCTGCAGACATCCCAGGAAATGTGAGGATGCCTTATCTCAAGAGTTTTGACAGCGAAAGCGGAACTGACAACCGACTTCGAATGCATCGAACTGCGAATTTTACAAATGTATGCATACATGTAACTATAACTACATTTTTAGAAGAAAAGTTGTGATTATTTTACGATTTAAATTAAACTAAAAAGAGGCACAGTCATTTCACTTTCTGACAATGTGTTACTGAAAGAAAAAAAATATAATGCTTGGAACCTGACCAGTTGATCGTGAGATCGGTAATGGGATTCGAAAGCTGGGGACATTCATAAATATGTATTTAAATGTTGTCCGACAGTTAACGCATGTCGTGTGACCATTGGGCAGGCCTAACGTGGGTAGTGCGTGAGTCGTGAGCCAAGCGATTGATGAATGTCCTGCTGGTAGGTCGCGTGACACCGTTGTGATAATGAAGTGGTTTTGTACAAACCCCTAATGTTTCCCAATGGAGGTGTTTATAAAGATCACCTGCTTTATTTGTTTAACCACCACGCCTCGACGCTCGTAAATAATAGTGTTAACAAAGTTCTTTCATTTAATTATGCGTGGTGTGAAACTACGGTAATTATAACTTGAACTGGTTTAATTATAATCGTTGTAAATATAATGTTAGTACCTGGTATACAATTACTATCTATAATTATCATTAAACCTGAAATTATTACGACAGGGTTTCCGGCTAAGTTTATTTAGAGAAATCACTAAATGTGGGACATTAAATAAATGTGAACATTGCTTTACGATTACATTAATTATTACTTGATCGTGGCGTTTGTCTCCATAAACATAAACTATAATAATCTCATACCTAATGTTAATGGTGTCGCATTAAAGTCGACTTTATTGAATCCATTAATGTGCGTACACACGATGACAGATGGGTATCGGTGCCGAATTGCCGCCGCGCGGCGCGCCGCCTCAACACGCGATACTTGCATTTGCTGCCATCATTTACATTCTTGTGTACAGGTGGTTTTAGGAAGTACCAGTGTCGGAACACTTTCCATGTGGCAGAAACCTATAAAACTAGGTCGTTATAGTCGTCTGATGTTGACATTTACGTAAAAAATTTGCTTCTTCATCAAACTATTAAATCGTTGTCATATGGTTTGTAACAAGTAAATTGCTCATCTAATATATTAATTATTTAAAATTTGGTCTACAAATGGCATTTTGGTTCGACGATATTAATGAAATTCATTGTCGATATTGCCGGATTCCTATATAAAATATTATTAAGTATTTTATTGCTCAGAAATTCTGGTTGGATTTTTTGTGAAGGTCGACAGTCGGACGTAAGCTGAAATTAATGAAATGTGTATATACTGTCAATTTTATATATTCAGAGTAATTGATGGTTATATTGTATATTATTTCGTTAGGTATAGGTACATTGGTTTTCTATTCCAAGTAGGTATTCCGTGTGTATCATAGAGCATATTGCGGCCACAACCTAGCCCACGGCAGCGGTTGCGGCTAGCTGTAGCGGCCATTATGTTATATGAAATACCTTTGGTTTTAATTATTGCAACCACCACCGGTCATTGTTAAAGTTACAAAGGTTTACAATGAAATTGTTTTCAAGTCTAGTGGCTTAATTTTGTAATGTCTGTTTTGTTCTTATTAATAAAACGTAGATATACGTATAATAATCTAATCTCAAAGGTCGTCAGATAATTCCTTAGCGCGTAGCCTAATTGTAGTCCGCCCAAATGTTTCGATTTCGAGTTTTATCGAAACATTTGGACGGACAACAATTTTATGATTTTTTTGATAATGCATTATAGGTACTAGAAAAAAACTTACGACGAGAAATATAAAAGGAATTTCAATTTCTCTCTAACGAAAATAACATAAACGACACAATATTTATTTGGGTCTTTCTAACATGAACATTTTGTGTCGTTTAATCAAAATAAAATTCGTTCCTTGAAATTGTCCCTAGTAAAAATCTTTATTTCTGTTCTGGGAAAATCATGTGTACTTAAGTTCTGATCAAACAAAACGTAGGTACGTACTTACATACGAATATAGAACGACAAATTCATCTGGGTTCACCGGTCGTGTATCCTCCGAGGATGGTATGCGGTTATGTACCTTAATTGAAATTGCTTCATGTATAATTAGGTAGGTATACGCTAAGGCATTGTGGGCCTGGAATTGTGCCGGACTGGCTGGTTGGTCTTTAATTAACTAGGTCTTATTAGAATCCACAATTCCCTACCGTCTAACATGCTGATATGTATCTTCATTGTTTTGGAGATTAAACGAGAAGCCCCGCTTTAGAATGGTTAATTGTAATCACCCCTCACAAAATGAACTTAGTTTTAAATTCAATTTACCAGGAATTGATTCTTTTATTTAATTTTTTTATATTAAAATTGTTAGATTTTGTTCAAGTTTTCTGAAAGAAAATAATATTTATAATTAACATTGTCCGACTCGAGATTCAAAAATAGAATGAGCACAGAATTGTGATTGATCCATGACTGTGAAGCAGCGATGATTCTTATAAAATTACTATTTTCCATTCATATACATTGCGATGATACAAAAAACACATTAATAACAGAAGAGAGCTCTCGACCGCGTTCGTTTAATTTCATCTCGATATCGCTCGCACATTTCCGTGTTCGTATTTTTCATTCAATTTTTGGTGTATAATGCTTAACGTGGTGTTATCTTGGCGTGACCTATATCGCGCAGTAATACGAGATCGTGGACAATGTGCCCCACCAGTAATTGACACGCATAAACCGATATTAAAAGCCCCAAAAGTGGAGGAAGGCAATTCCGAGTGGAATTTACGTCATGTTTAAATCAGTACTGACATTAAACAGTTTGTTCCGCCCACCTGTACCAGCTACTCTTGTTTTAATTAAACTTATGTAGTGTAATTGCTCTTGATTGTTGTTAGAGCTTAGATAATAACGTGTTGGAAACTATTAGACACGTTTTATAAAACGATCCCTAAGTGGTACTTGTGAACTTTATTTATGTTATAATTTTCGGTAGTATGTAATAAAGAATACTAGGCTCTGTAGCTATGTAGTCACAATCACAAGCACCATTGCTGAATAACGACCGCTTTTTTGATTTCTTAATACTCTAGAAATTTAATAGGTACTATAGTACTCATGTTAAAGGTGTTAAAATATCATACAAATTAATGAAATGCAATCTAATGATGATGTCATAAAAGTTATGCAACTTGCTTCATAATGACCAGAGTTTTGACACCCACGTGGAGACTGTAGATTAAAACGCCTACTCCAAATTGGAGCACAAGTCATTGAATCCTAATAGCGTGTAAATAAATAAACACTGATGATCCAACCACCCACTCATAATAATTATTATCTACCCACTAGTGACGGTAAACTCAATATAAATTAATAATTGTTTTTCTACAAACGTGTAGGTAGCGGTGTATAACGTTACTGCAGGCTACTACTAATTACAGCAGTTAGTTATTCTATGAAAATAATACATCTATTGCTGTAACCAGTTTTATCTTTTAAATTGTAAAATATCTGTATTATGTATGTAATACTTTCACAATATACTTAGGATCTCACTTTGCAGTAATTACAGTAATTAAGATTGCAATAACTACAAGTTTATTTTTTATAAGTAATAGGTAAGTACTACCACAAGTACGTACTACTATTAGCAATCACATTTCAAACATGGCGCTGGCGTAGAAAATGTAATAACTAAACACGAAATCTCGACGGACAGACGCACTTATAAATACGATAGAAAGAAATGTTCGCAAAGTTATAAGCCACTTAGAGCCACTGACATTCAATAATATCGAAACTAACGTTAATAAAAAGCCAATAGTCCATCGTTCAGGGCGTGAACTTTGGATCGAAAGGTCGTGGCTTCGAGCCCGACCGCTTTGAACTCAATGTTAAGCTTATAACACGACCGTTATTAATATAATATGTATCACGGTACGCATCTTTCACCCATTATTTGTGTTTCAAATATTATCATTTAGCGAAACTTTTCACTTAAAATATATTTTTAATATTTTACTCACGTTTCTTAATAATTCAAATCGTTGGAATTTTAAAACCCATTTCAGCGAAACTTGCCAAGTTAAAGATGAATCGGAGCTCAGATCAAAAACTAGGATACTTTTAATATTAAAATAAGATTTGGTTTTCGAGGAATATCCTAATAAATGTGTTTTCAATCTAAGCGTAAAGGATTCTCTTTACGCTCTTTAAGAATATCTTTTCCAAACTAAAGGATAAAATTGGTAAATGTAAAAGAAATATTTAGTAAAATTGTGCTTACCTGAGCCAAAACCTTCGTATAACATGAGTGTAGTTCAGATATCGTGTCGCTGTATCGATAGATATTGACGAAATCATTCGGTCCTAAAGTGTCCAGAAGAGCGGAGACGGTAGACTTGGCCAACCGCCAGTAAGACGAGCTCAGGTCATCGGAGTCATCAAGCAAGATCACGAGGTCCTTAGGAGATGTTGCTGCTTCCACAAACCAATTTGAAGACCTAAAGTCGTAGAAGTCTCTTGCGTGGTGTGAGTATCCATCTTCTGGAGGCCAGGACATTGCTATGACAAGAATATAACTGGGTTAATTATCCTTCTTTAAGGACACACTAGGATTAAATTTCACATACATATAACACCCATATCAATTGCGGCTCGTACAAAGAAATGTTCCATGCACGGCACCAACAGTCAATATTTAACACTTAAAACTAGTTAAATAATTTAAACAAGTAAATTAACTTCGTGTGTTTTTCACATAAAAACCATTGGAATACAAGTAAATGTAAATGTTTATATTCCGTCTACGCAAACATTTACGTAGCGCTCGTAGCATACTACGAAAACTTCGTAGCATTCGTAGCAAGTGGTTTCAGACTTTGACAAGACAAGATATTTTACATATTCGTATCTAGTTGTATTTCTTTATAAAACCGTATATTTTAAGTAAGATGGCTGTATGTAATTTAGACGAAAAACATAGACTGTGTTATATACCTGGGTATCGCCTCATGAATCCGGTGGAAGAAGCGTAGTATTGCCATGACAGCGTCGGATCAATCTCGTAGTTATTCACGAACAGGGGGTCCAAGTGCTCCGACCACGCGATCTGGTTCTGAACCTCACCATCTGCGACAACAGGACCAAGTTTTAACTTGTCTCCAACTTGGACAATATTTTACAGCTTCGTTATTATTGTGGACCACTTTTCCGGGAATGTTTAATTAGAGAATTATGTAAAGGTTTATTACTAATAGAAACAGAAATCTAAACAATCTATCTCATAATGTTCAGTAGATATGTAAATAATGCATACATACATCCTCATAAACTTTCGCATGTAGTTAAATATAACAATAGAAAATATGGTCGATATTTGTGTAGTTCTTGTGAGGACACTAAAGTTTAGTAATGTTTATGTGCAAATAACTATTTTTAAAAACGGATAAAACGGGTTGTACTTGGCCGCGATCACGAGCAAATTTAAAGTCAGTTTGTTATATGTAAATAATTTTACGTGCAGTTAAACTTATGAATAATGTATGAATGCAGAAGTTTTCGTTATACAATAGAGGATAATCGCGACACTGTTGGCACTCTGTCCACCAATTAGGGAGATTTTCTTTAACTACCCATTAAAAGAAGTCTAATTGGCAAACTTGGTTCATTGGGCAGCCGTGATTGCTTTCTCCTGGATCGCCGGCCGGAAAAATTAATGGTTCGCCTGTGTACTATGGGTTTGTTAAATAAACGCATCAGGGCCTATGTAATTACGCCCTTTAAATTAAATACGGGCTACCAAACGATATTTTGGGGCTTCTGGAAGCGTGAAGGATATTGTGGGTGGGTAGTATACATTTGCATATTTTTGTCTGCATATATACACTTGTACCTAGCTGTCAGTTCTTTCAATGCGGAATGCCACGTTTATTAGAGATAACAGGTAAGTTACGATAAATGTATTCCTCTGATCTTGTATCACAATAGACACCTCAAGCCATTGGCGTATAATTATTAAACTTTGGAATCGATCGAATCTAATAACTTCACAACATGGTACCGGGAAAATTTGTTACATAAAATTACAAAGGAATCGTAATTTTGTCAACAAAAATTCATCATAGATTTGAAATAACGTTTGTTCGAGTGAGCGCTACTAAATAGTGAGGAATACGTCAATCTGTCCATTAATCATCGGCGGTGGCTACCCTGAGCCCTGAGCGCGCCCCGCCCGCCCGCGCATCCCCTGTGTCAACAATATATTAGCGCACATTATTTAGAGATGGAGAGAACTTGTATTTTTCGCTTACGTTTTATCATTCTGCGTAAAACATAAAATTGAATCCAACATTTTCGTTGTTTTAATTCTATATGAAGTGGATTTAGCTGTCGCAGAAGATTCTGTACCAGTTACGATTACTTTCTTCAGAATTCGTTGATTGATTCTTACAGGTCTTCCTCATATACCGGTAGCAATTTATTTTCATTCTGTGTATTTAATAAAGAAGTTACTATGTAGTTAATTAATGTCTTGCCTTCGTGAACCTATTTCATCGCAGGTTATAATTTACTTTTACATAATTGTTTAGTTCTATATTATTATCCTACAGGGTCAGTAATCTAGTGGTTTTATAAACATGCTTTATGTAATAACCTGTTAAGCATTTATTTTGTACGTAGGGTCCTATCTGGTTTAAAATAATAACTTTGTATGTTTCCCACATATGTACGTACCTTCAGTGTTGATGTAGGGTGGCATGAGCACAGCGCTGTAGCTGGTGTTGACGGCGATGTGGTCGAAATGTCTACTCGGTGTTAGTGTCAGCCGGCGTGCTCGCGCTGCCAGGGTCCCGTCGTCTGCGTGCACGTTCAACCAGCGAGCGTCATAGTATGACCCTGGAGCCCCATCGCTGCCCGCATTGCCTGCTGATAAAGCAGCTGCCTCTGCACTGTCCATTATGCGCTGTGTAACAAAAAATATGATTAGATTAGATGGATACTACAAAGCAAATTTTAATTGCTGATGTGAATGTGTCCTGCAGGTTACAGGTGGTCAATTAAAGAACCTGATATCAGTTCACAATACTAAAACAAGGGGTTCATTGTGGTACTTACTTGCGACTAATAAGAATATGAAAAGTACAACGGTATAAAATAAAAGTTAGTATTTGTGTCAACATTTCCCTTTCGGTATGATTTACAAGGGTTGGAACAGTCAAGTCATGGAGCGAACCGCGGCTCGCCAGCACAAAGAGTGGCCGGATAAAAGCGGTAGACAATTGTCGGCAATTAGTCGGCGTGGAATTGGGCTGATCGATAGCTGCCTTTGTCCCACAGGCAGGCATTAGCGAACGATCAAAAATAATCAGCTCCTCTCCCCGCCACACCTTTCTCTTCCTTTATTGAAGACAGGACGTGTTATTTCCTCTACTCCAGGTTTTATAATCGTTAAGGTACCTTTTTCGCTTGATTTGTTTCATTTTAATATCATAGCAAAGTTTAATATTATTCATAAAATTCATAACCTTAAAAATAAAGTCGCTTCGTTTACATCCCTTTTCCTTCATTTCATTTGATTACTCTTTGTCTGGCAGATTATTAGAAAAAATAGGATTAACCACCCAAATAGGAGTCCGCTTTAATCTAAACCAAACGAGATGACTTTGTGTTCAAAGATTACCTAGAGCCAAACATTTAATTAACCAATTTAGACGTAAAACGTCGGATAATATTGTAAAAGAAAGATGCCGGGAGATAAGTTAGGCCGTTCCCCAACGTTTGGAAATCCTTTGACCTCCGAGTGTTTGATAATAATGATAGGGGTTGCGTGATCTAAACGACCCAGAACCGATTGCCGTTACGACGCTAGTGTTAGCCCACGTCGATTTTATAAACTTCGTTGCTGTAACATCTAGGCCATTAAGGCACACCTAATGCTTATACTAGGCAGCTCAAATATTTTTGAAACAAACCGCAGTTCGTTAAACAAACTGTTCGAAACGAACAAGTTAGTTGAAAATATGCACTAAGTAATGTTTGAATCACGAGAACTTTATCACTCTCAACACAATTCTGATCGTATATAACGAACTGAATTAGAAGCTTCTAAAAATGTTTTAACTAGCTCTTATTACGTATTCAGAAGTTTAAAAAAATTACAGAAAACACAGTTTATAAATGAGAGTTTTTAGTTGTGAGACGAAATAGCCCCATCCTAGGAACAAGCTCGCGAAGTGGGGGCGAAGTAATTAAAACTTGCACTGAGCTGAGCCCGCCTCCTACACCACTACACCGCACTTGCAGCGTCCGACACCCCTCGCTCCACGCAAAGGATTTTTATTGAAATTAATCCTTTGATAATAAGGAGAAAATATTTGAATCTAATGCTGGAATACTGAAACGTTACTCAATTTTAAGTCGTGCTTAAATATCGTGCTGTCTCTGTCATTTTACAAAGAATTTGTGTGACAGAACTATGCTTAAGCGCGAAATTGAGTAACATTTCAGTATTCGGGCATAAGTGTAATAATCACCATATAATTTGATGTATAATTATAAGCATTTAATATTTTACTACAGGAAATAAAGATATAATACGAGACTATCCAGTGTCTAATCAACGTGAACCAAGTTACAGTGTGTTGACGTCGATCACGGTCGTAAATTGTCCCGGTAGCTAATAGAGAAAGGCGGCAATTAAATAATTATAAGACACCCCAAATATTTTATCTCGGCCATTAGGAGCGGGCTCTGTAACTGGAGTATTCTTGGAACAATGCTTAGTGCCGGCCGTAAATACATTCCTTTATTTTGTTTCAGCTACAGTTTCATTAAGTGCGAAATGTTGGCGTCGTTTTTTCTCCGTGCGACGCCCGCAGCGCAGCAATCCCCTCGATTTTTCAACTTTATTGTTGAGCTAAGTTCCGCCGCTTTCGGCTCACTACTGCCGAGTCCTATTCCCAACTTATTATGCGAACTATTCAGTTTGCGAGCTTCTTCTGCAGACAAATGGAGTCTTTGTAAATGTTGTGCTGTTATATTTTAATAATTGCTACGTTACTTAAAATTGCTGGTTCAACTTTGTTGTTGTAGTGGTGACAGGGTTAATTAACTGCGAGGAATGCAATGTGTGTGCCTGGTTCACAATTTCAGCGTATACAAGGAGTTTATACACAAATATGCAACACAAATTGCTGCTATTTCAAGATTCAAAACGTCATGTACAAGAAAGTAGCAAGTGTCGTATCTACGTTTCAAAAAAGGACACACAGTGGCAGTGTCGATACGCAACACTCATTTGTAGCAACCGGTAAAGATGAGGGGTTGAGACGAATAAAGCGAAGATAAACGTCTGAGATAAACTCAACGTATTCACTATGATTCCGTCTCGTTGGCGCTCAATGTGTCGGTATACACCGACGCCTTCGAATAACTACCACATGACAAATATGTATATGGAACATTTTGTGCCAGCTCAAGACTAGGTACTGTTCAAAGAATTCTTTGCTTGGTTAAATAGAAACGCAAGGAGTATTGTTATCTCAAGTTGAGTACAATATTTTCCAATAACACAACATGTAAAATTGTTGTGAAACAAGTTCGTATAAAAGAGTTGCCATTGTTTGGTAGAAGCGCTGTATTTTAAGAAGGTTAGTGAACTTTGTGCAGCACTTGAGAGGACAGCGCTACAAGTATGTCTTTCATACATTAGATATTGCACCCTAAACTTATTTTGCGATGAACTGAACACATGCTCCGGTCGTGTGCTGTCGCTGTATCGCCACTATGCCGACACCTCACTATTTGCTGTTGTATTCGTAAATGAGCCCCTAAATTATTATTATCTTCATGAATTACAATAAGTTACTTGAACAAGATATAAATAGACTAGAATCAAGAGGTTTCCACATTTAAAAAATTAACTAAAACTCACGTGAATAACCTACGAGTTTTAGTTAATTTAGTCTGTGTCGATAGTTATTATAAAAACATTTATAAAATTCTTAAAACCTTTATAAGATTATGAACCTTAAATTTATAAGATTATGGTAATCATGAGTTCTTTATATTATGAAGAAAGTATAAATTCTAATTGCAACACAGGACACTGCTGTCAATGACATGATATAATTTATAATTCAATAGTACTGCCGGTGAAACTGTACCATCTAATTTCAGTAGTGGATGGTGTTGTGTTAACACGAGAACGCGAGAAGAGCGTTAGACTAGGGCGCCCTCAAGCGGTGACATAATGCAATAAGTCCGCAGCCATGATCGTGCTGCGGTCGTCAGTCTCGCACACATAAATAATCCGATTACACTGTCCACACCGATGCTGCACACATACGTACTCGTATATACATTTACATACATATGTATAGTTATATAACGAGTTTTTGGGGGTTGACTGAACGTTACTCCGCTGAGCAAGTTACAGGATAGTGAGTTTAATCTTAGGGCAATATAGAAAAAGTAAGTACGAGTACCTAAGTATATTTTGTTTTAAACCTATACAAAATGAAATGTAACTAATAATATTTTACAAAAAATACATTAAGGTTACAGCGTATCAAATCGATTTCCCTGAATTCCACTCTGAATCAGCGGTGAAACGGTTAGCCGAGCAATGAGTTATAGTGACTAGGTAAGGTATGGGCGAGTTAACCTCATTGATATTAATGGATTTCTGTAATCTTAACTCAGTTTTTACTGCTTTCACACGTGGGGTTAAGTGGTACTTCGATATTTTAGTTTTAATATAAGAATAATGACGCTAACCCAGACGTTTAAGACTTATAATAATATTTTATAGTTAGTTGAATCGTAGGTTGCAAGTGTTCTCGTGTGATATCTGAGTAAGATTTTATTCGTTTATCATACTTGAAAAATAATTACTCTAAAATATTATAGAGGTATTTTGTCTGTTAATAATTACTCTAAATTATTATATTTTTTCTGTTAAACAAATTTTTATTATTTAAGTTAAAAGCTAGGTATATAGGTAGTCGCATTGCTACCACTAACTCGCCGCAGCGCGTCTAACTAATACCTTGTTTGAAGGAAATTGGCTATGGTTTATTAAGTTACGGAGAAATCAGTATCACAATCTTGACTCAGTATTCTTTCTCGATTAAATTCGACCTATAAGCTAAGATTAATGGAAAGCATATTTTTTAATATTATTTTTAAACATAGATTTTTCAAAAATTTCTAAATATATTGTAGTGTAATATAATATGAAACCCCCAGGAAAAGCTAGATCTCATTAAGTTTGATCACACCGACAAGTCTGATGGCGTAGTCCCCGTACATCAAGTTCGTGGCGGTCGCTATAAGTAATACCTAACTGTTATTACGACACGTGCAAACACTTCGGAGTTGCGCACAAGATATAGGTCCCAAGTTATAAACTCGAAATTGTACGGAGACATGTTGGTTTACAATACAAACTATAGGTGTGTCTGTGGTAAGTTGAAACTGTCAAATGAGATTCATACGATTCTTTATGTAGTCATTACGGTAGAGTTAAATATATTCTCATGGTATTAGTAACTTGCTCAGTAGTTGAAATTTTAAGGCACTTATTAGGAAATCAGAGGTAGTATTTAATGAATTAAGATAATACTGTTACATTAGTTATACGAAGAGATCAATTTAAATTACCAACTGTTCTCTATTTTATCAGTAAGTGAAATGACAATAGACAATTAAACTAATACAGGACAACAGTGGAAAATGATATCTTCACTTCACATTAACTATAGTATAAATAAAAACAAGTATCACATACATACTAAGTAATTATGACAGTCTTTTTGGGCACGTAGTAACAGAAGATTTAAAAGAAAAAAGAAAAAAATTAATGGACGAGGGTAGAATCGGTAGTAAGGTCTGCTAAGTAACGTTTGCCTCTTTTACAAGAATTTTATTTTGATTAAATAATTCCATTTAAAAGAGATACCT